AAAAAACCCGGGGGCGCGGTCAGGCCTGCGGGCAGCCCTGCGGCCTGCACCAGCCCCATCACACGCGTGGCCCCAAAGCGGCTCGCTCTGCTGCAGTGATGCCATGGTGGGTGGTGTGGAGGGGGGACACGGGGACGTGGCGCTGCCCACAGCAGCTTTGCCTTCCTCCTCTGCAGCTGCATTAAAAGCCGATCTGCTGCTTGGGTTTGCCCTCCAGCACGGTCTGCTGGGGTTTGGCATTTCTCTGAGTCATTACTTGCTTTCTAAAAGTAGACAGAGTTGGGGATGGGGGGGGGAGCCCAGATTTTCTCACCTTCTCCCAGGATCTCAGCCTGGGCTGGGCACTGCAGCTCCCCTAAAATCAGGGTTGCTACAGGGACTGGGCTCTTCTCGAAATCCATCCCACAAAGGCAGAGCTGCTGGGACCCCAATCCTTTCCAAACCTCTCTGGGGTGGGCATTGCAAATACTGTTGTTAAAGACATTTGCCTGCTCTGGTTTCAGCCTGGCACGTGTCCCACTTGCAGCTTCAACTTGACCAAGTGGCATTTGAAAACAGCGTCAGGCTCATGCGATGTGTTTGAGCTGCACAGTTTGTTTCTATTTTTAAGGTCCCACGTTGGCCTTTGGAGGGTGAAGGGGAAGCAAAGCTGCTGGAGGAAAAAAAAACCAAATTCCCCAAGCAGCAAGAAGCAGGCAACGAAAGGAAATATTTCTCACGCCAGGGCTGCGGTGAGATCTCCTCCAAGGGCAGCGGGGTGGCACGAGGGCCACTGCAAGGGCCGAGAGGGAATGGAAAGCACCGGCTATTTTTTTGCCCAAATACGTGAGTTAATCAACAGTCAAAACACGGCGTCTCGTCCAGCGGCATGAGGCAGCGGCAGGGCAGCAGAGGAGGGGACGTCCGTCCCCCGTGGGGGCTGGTGCCACGGGAGGTGGGTGCTTGCCCCTCCGATAGCAAGCCCAATGGAAAGGGGGATGCTTAGGGAGGGGTATGGTATATAAAGAGCCCCTTTGCTTGCCTCACGTCTGTTGCCCAACGAACCCCTTGCTGCCCCATCGCAGCGGGCAGCCCGATGACCCAAGACACGGGCAATCAGCTGGCAACAGCAGTGGGGATGAAAAGACCACAAAAATAAACGTGCTTGGCTGTCAGATGCTTTTCCTAAACACGGCTGAGTGCCTCAACGGGGCAAGAAAGACCCTGCAAACACCAGGCACCCAAAGCGACCGAGGTGCTGCCGAGGTCTTTGCTCCTGGCCATGCCATGAAGCTGCCCGGGAGCACAGTCCGGGCGGGCCACGCTCTCCCTGTTTTTTTCCCTTTTTTTGGCCTCCAGCAGAGCAGCAGCCTGAGTCTGTGAGACTTTACAGACATTCAGAAAAATCCCCTTTAATTCATCAGGGCTTTTTCAGGCAGTTTTGCTCTGCTGGACAAGGAGCCGCTGGCCTCAGGGCAGCCACTCACGGATGCTGCGGTCCCTGCTGTAAATCCAACCTGCCTTGCAGCAACGTGGGAACGAGCTTAACCCCCATGCAGCATCCAAAAGTGGGATGGAGGAGCATTGATGTGCTGGTGGCATCGCAGCAGGCGGCCGGAGCAGCTCACCCAGCGCTGGGTCAGGCCAGAGAAAGTGCCCAGCTGAAAACCAGGGATGCCAGAATTTGTGCCTTTGCTCTGCCACAGCCTCACCTGGGGACAGTTGCTGGGTTTGACCCTCCACGATCGCGAGACCAACAAGCAAATACGGCAATATTGACTTTACCTTTATGTGTCCACACTTTAATCTGCAGCTTCTAAGGCTGCAGGCTTGAAAAATATATTTGTCTCTCCAAAATCTGGGGCTTCTGCTAGGAACCAGCAGCAGATGAGACCCCGCTGCTCCCCCAAGGCATCCCGGGGCGAGCGGCAGCCAAAGGGGTTTGCTGCAGCATGCGAAGACCCCTGAGCAAAGCTTGCTGGTATGAAGCAGTGCCACAGCCACCCTTCCCAGCTCTCCAGCCAGACAGCACGCCTCATCTTGTCTTACTCAGAAAGAATATTTTTTTTTCCTTGATTTTCCTGTGTTTTGTGAAGTTTACAGGCTGCCACGTGCCTCCTGTGAGACACAGCCACACGTGCGTAGGTGCAGCCCCCGCAGCAGTGGCCAGCACCAGCAGTTTGCTGCCCGGCTGGAAACCACGTCAGATCAGTCGTGGGGTGATGATGTGCTGCTGCGGACATGGAGATCACCCGCAGGGTGTTGGCAGCTTTGGGGGCCCAAACCGTGCACCCAAGGCTGCTGGCCCGGGGCAACCCTCTGCAGCCATTCCCTTTGGATGCACACATACACAGGGGGAGCGGAGGTCCCAGTCCTGTCCCGGCCTCTCCCAGGGACAGGGGGGACACAGACCCTCTGCCCTGATGACAAGGACTGCTGCCTGGAGATGCAGAGGTCAGGGCAAAGCTCACACAACATTTTTCCCTACCAGCAACAAGAAGCGAAGCTGGAAACGACGCTGGATGCCTCTGCAGTGAGGACAAAAAGCGAGAGCAGCCACCTCCCGCCTGGCTGCTCCCTGGGCCAGGCAGCGGGGAGCTGCCTGCACACAGCTTTGCCCTTCGCCCCTGCCCGCGCGGGATGCCGGCGGTACAAAGTCACCACTCAGGGGTCCCACGGCCCCCGGCTGCCATCGGGGCTGCAGCACCTGGTGCACGCAGGCACCATCCCATATCCCATGCTGGGGCTGAAAGCAGACCGGAGCGGGAAGATTCAGCATCTTTAAATCCGCCCCTGCCAGGGTTTTGTTTGCCTCCAGCAGGAGCAGAGACCTTGCCCCCCTTGCATGCAGGCACCTGCAGGCTCAGTGCTTTATCGAGGAGCTCTATCCAGCTATCAGGCAGATCACAGATGGGCCAAACAGCCAAGTTGACTAATTCAAGGCAAAAATCATCCAACACGCCACTTAGGGCTCCCCAGCCCAGTGCACCCCCAAGCTGCCATCCACACCATGCGCTCCAGCCTGACATCAGACCCACGAAACGCAAGCCCTGAGCAAGCCTTCTCTCTCCCCTCGGTACAGAGGGCTCACTCTGCACCCAAGTCCTTCCCCCAGCCCTAAGCAGACCCGGCTCAGGCCCTGGCACTTGCTCCTACCCCAGGAGGCACCGGAGCAGGGCAGGGCAGCAACAAGTTCAGTGCCAACAGGGACAGGCTGTGCAGCCAAGTAAGGAAGAAAGGGTGGGGGAGGCATTTGCAGCATCGCTGCAGCTAAGCCTGATCCTGGTCACATGCAAAACACACACGTACGGGTGAGTCACTGGCATGACCGTGCCATCCGCCGTCACCAGGCCCTGCTGGAAGTGCTGCGGTCGGACTCTGCGCCGTGTCTCGGTACGGCCCCACCAACATCTGTGCTGCTCTGCCCTCCCACCCCAGATGTAGAACAACCCGCAGCGTTTTAAAAGGCTGCTTGACTTTATTAGTTGCCGTTGTACAAGTACAAGGTAAATAAAACGTGTTACCGAGTCTGCGCAGAAAGCGTGTAGTTGCATTAAGAAAGAGTAAAAAAGCTGGTGTGGGAATTGTCAGGGGTTTGCTGCATTTTTTTATTACAAAGCAGCACCTTTGCCTTGCAGCAGCCTGCCTACTCTATGGGGGGGAAGGGGCTGTGCCCGCCAGCGTGGAGAGCAGCCGCTGACCCACTCATGCCGAGGGCCCGAAGCTGGGCTCGCTGGCGTGACGCCTCCGTCCTGCTCCTGGGGCCGGCACCAAGCCACACGCCATCGGTCCTGTCATCACCTGCAGCGCTCCCAAGCTGCAAGACAGAGCAGAGAAAGGGTCAGGCCGACAGCAAGGCCTTGCGCTGTCGCTCTGCATTTATTTCTAACGCAAAGGAGTCGGTGCCCCAGGCATGAAGACATGACCCATCGGGTCAGGATGCTCCTCGGGGGACGCAGCAGGAATGTCCCCCGCTGCCCTGGGTGCTGCACTGGCACTTCCCCGCATCACCTTGTCCAAGGAAAGCACTCACTTCTCCGGGGACTCTGACACGGTCGTCATGGCCGGGTGAGTCGTCTTCCCGAAGAAGAAGCTGGCCCACCAGTGGTCGGGGTCGGACTTGGGCAGACCTGGGGGACAGTGTGTGCCAGGGAAAGTCCGGGTCAGTACAACCCAGGCAGCCCTGCTACCACCCTGGACACATCCCACAGGAGAGGCTGGGTCACCTCCAGTAGGATTTGCAGTGGAGGGGCCGGGAGCAGAGTCCCCCCACGGCCCCAAGCCGGGACGGGTGGCACCTACCCGGGGGGTGGGGGATCACCTCCCCAGAGTACTCCGAGCTGCCGCAGGAGCTGTTGCTGGATGTGGAGCTCAGGCGCCCTGTGGAGAAATCACGGCCATCAGAGCCAGCACTGACCCTCGGTTGTGCCCTGGAAAGCAGGGCACAGCCTTGATGTGGCCGTCCCGGGGGTGACACGGCTCAGTCTCATCACTACCTCGCTCCAGTACTTGCCCAGCTTTAGTGCCAAGTCAATAAAAACCACTAAGAAGGAAACAGTGGCGAGATGACAAGTTGGCCAAGAGCAGGTAGCAGAAAAGCACCTGAGCACCTCTGTAGGAAAACATTTGCAACCCCAAGACCATTATTTAAGGGCTTTGCATCTGTATGCAACACTTGGGAGGCCTCTGCAGATGACTTGAGGCCAAGAAGATGCAGATTCCTGCACATTATCCATGCAGTTTTAGTCCAACTGCTATAAGCCTGTTACTAGTTTCAGCTCAAGGGGAATACTTTAATTCCCTCTGGTTTAGTCAATCCATTAAACCAGAAAGTCTCTCCTCTAGAGATGTACCAGTAGCTGCCATTGCCCAGACTGGGTTTGCAGCTCGTTTCCACAGCAATGGCACAAGATGCATTTGAAGCCGTCCCCTCCCCTCCCCTACAACCTTAATAACAAGCGAAGGAGATTGCAAGACCCATCTCCAGCTGCCACAACTGGGCAGGGGCTGCGGTGGCCCAAAGGAGGGTCCGAGCAGCAGGAGGGATGGCTGCTGGCTGCCCCCCTTTCACAGCACGGAGCCGGCCAGCTCTCGTGGGGCTTCAGCCGAAAGCACACACCGGAGCCCAGCTTCATCTCTGCTGGAGCCACAGCCCCCTCGAGCCTGGCAGAGCACCCGGCCCGCTCACCCACCGCCCCGAGCCCGCCCCAGCCCCGAACGCGCGCCCTTACTTCTGTAGTAGTTGTGCGTTGCCATGAGCGAGCCGCTCGATGGGATGGATGCCATCGTTCTCGATCTTGGTTCTTGTGCAGATCTAAAACCTGCGAGCAGAGGGATGGTTGTCGCTGCAGAGGGGCCGCGTCACGGCCCCCGCAGCCCCCACCCGCCCGGAGCCGCACCTGCGCCTGCACACGAGAAAGCTGCAAGAGCTTAAATGGTACCAGTGTGATTTCTCAAGAGATTTGACATGCACACCCTCACAGTGGCACGGAGGCTAGTGCCCATAGTGCATGCATGGGTTAAATCCGCAGCTCTACAGCTCTGGCTCAGAGCTACATGCAAAGCCAAAATAATTCCCTCGAAAACGACTGCTTGCACAGAGCACAGGCCTGGCAAGTCTGCACCTGAACCCCAGATGGGTGTTTTGCTTCCGTGCAGAAATCCAGTTCCCCTCACAGTATCAACAGTTGGGAGTTATGAAATCTCAGGCAGAGATTGCATAAGTAGCGAAGGAGTGTTTTGCTCGGGGCGCATACCGAGGGTTTTCGTGCAAGGGGTTCCAGCCCCAGCCTGTCCCCGGCAGCGCCTCCGCAGCCCCTGAGCTGGGGGCAAACCTGCCTGCCTGCCCTGCACCCTCACGCACAGCACGTCCGTCCCCCCCCCGCAACGTCTGCTTCCAGCACGGACAAGAAGATTGCTCTCCCTGGCCCACAACGTGCCCAGTTCCGAGCTGGAGAAATGTTTTTCTCCTCCTGGTACAAAGCACCTCCCTGCTCAGATGCTGACTCTTCCCATACTCCGTGGTCTCATCCCTTCTTGTTCGAGCAAGCAAAGGTGCCAACTGCCAGCAGAAGCCACAGCCCCTTGGGCCTGCAGAAGGGCACCGAGCCCCACCGTCACCCGGGCGTCCAGGTCCTCCCCAGCTCTTGATGAGACTTTCCCTGGTCTAACGATGCACCCACTTGTTGGGTGTCCTGCTACAAAATGTCCTCCGAGCGCTGAAGTCCCCGTTAATGCAGTGGAGAAACTGAGGCATGGAGCTGTCTCCGGTAAGTTTCACCCCAAAGGGACTCGTTGCAGCCTTGCGGTTCACCCTTTCCAAAGCAACACCCCCCCTCCCTCAAATTCCTACGGGCCGCTCCGTTCACCCCCCCACCCGGGGCTGCAGGCCCGGGCGCAGCGCACCTGGGCTGGGCGGCGGCGGGGTCCGGCGGGCGGGCACTAGGGCCGCGGGGGCCGCTCGGTGGCGGCG